AGGGATAGAGGGATGACCAAGGCAGTGGCCAGCAACGGCGGTGGAGGTGAGGAAGAAACTTAACTGGGAGACGGTGAGCGAGGGGGAGGGGGTCGTTGGGGTTCCTCCAGGTCGAGGGTGAGAGGGGTCAGTGTGGTGGCTAACAACGGCGTGTGAGGGGGGAGGCGCAGTTGTGAAGCGGCACGTGATAGCGCCCGTCGTCTACGCATGGTGGAGGCCGATGGTTGGGGCGGCTAGCTAGAGTTGTACATGAGGAAGAAGAGATAGGGAAGTTAAAGATGAATAGTGATGATCCATTTTGAGCCACTGGATTAAGATCTAATGATTTGTGAGAAAAATGACTAATGGCTGAAATGTTTCCATGTACCTCACATATAGATGGTCCCAAACTATTTTAGAGCATCTACAACCACACTCCATACCAGTGTAAAACGTTCGGGCGGCCTTTCCGGTCATAAATTGATCACCCCACCGGACCAGCAAACTCAACCCAAACATCTGGGTTGTCCGGCACCCTCATGCATAGCATAATATGGGGTGGATATGGGGAGGTCCAGATGTGTCCGGACGCGTCCGCCATGTAGGCTATGGTCCACCATGATCTTCCAAATACCACATCACCGAACGAAGCCCTGGTCAAAGTCCACACTCGACCACTCTGCTTCCCTCTCGGTATCCCCCCCTTCATTCACGTCCCCTCTCCTCCACTATAGTCGGCTCCGACAGGCACTCTGGCAGCTCTTCGGTAACAAGTCTGATCACATCTACTATGACGGGCTCTTGAAGGAGGATGGCTCCCGCAACGAGGCTCCGAGCGACAAGGAGCTCGCACTTCGCATTGCCATCAAGCGTTCTCGGGTGGACACTGGTGGCATCTTAAGCTCTGCATCGTTCGCGTCGTCCCTGGTGTCTCGGCGACGCATTGAGGCCGAGCGCGGTGGCTCGTCGTGGTCTATGTCACTCCAGATCCACCATCGGGCACGCAACTCCCCTTCCCCTCTAGCCCGCAGCTCCTCCCGGGAAATGTTGGGTGCGCATGCCCGCGTCAAGCCAGTAGATGAGGATGTCGGAGCAGGAGGCCAAAGCCACCGGTCGCGAGAGGCAGCAGGCCGCATAGAGGGCGACAGGGGTAGGCTTCTCCCGCACACGCGCGAGATCCGTGCATGTCGACCTGAACGAGCAGCTCTTCCGCGATGTCTTCCGCCGATCATTGACCACGACGGAGACGGGCATGAGGCGTCTCCCTGCAAGAACACGAAGGCGCTTCGGCTCGACATCGAAGAGTTCGAGTGCATCAAGATGCAAAAGGAGTCTGATGAGGTTTGAACTACGTCGGTATTTCCCCAAAGAGAAAGGGATGATGCAGCACAGAGGTATTTCCCTCAGTGGTGAGACCAAGGTTATTGAACCAGTAGGAGAACCACGCAACACTATGTGAACGGCACCTGCACATAAAGAACAAATACTTGCAACCCGGCGTAAAAGAGGGGTTGTCAATGCCTCCCGGGTAAAAGATATGTAAAATTTGTAGTAGACTAGATAAATAGATCTCGCGGGAACGCGAGATAAAATAAATAAATAAAATTACAGTAAGGTATTTTTGGGTTTTTGGATTAATAGATCTGAAAATAAAAGCAAATAAAAATAGATCTTGAAGGCAAATATGACAAAGAAGAGACCCGGGGGCGTAGATCTCACTAGCGGCTTCTCTTGAGAAAAATAGTATACGGTGCGTAAACAAATTACTGTTGGGCAATTGATAGAACTTTAAATAATTATGACAGTATCCAGGAAATGATCATTATATAAGCATCACATCCAAGATTAGTAGACCGTCTCCTGCCTGCATCTACTACTATTACTCCACACACCAACCGCTATCCAACATGCATCTAGTGTATTAAGTTTATAGAGAAATGGGGTAATGCAATAAGAACAATGACATGATGTAGACAAGATCTATTCATGTAGGAATAGACCCCCATCTTGTTATCCTTAATAGCAACGATACATACGTGTTGTTTCTCCTTCTGTCACTAGGATCACGCACCGTAAGATCGAACCCATCACAAAGCACCTCTTCCCATGGCAATAAAAAACGATCTAGTCGGCCTAACTAAACCAAAGATTCGAAGTAGAAATACGAGACTATAAGTAATCATGCATATAAGAGATCAAAAGACTCAAATAACTTTCATGGATAAAAACATAGATCTGCTCATAAACTCAAATTTCATCGGATCCCAGCAAACACACCGCAAAAAGAGTTACATAAAATAGATCTCCAAGAGACCATAGTATTGAGAATCAAAAGAGAGAGAGAGAGAGAGAGAGAGAGAGAGGAAGCCATCTAGCTACTAACTATGGACCCGTAGGTCTACAAAGAACTACTCACGCATCATCGGAGAGGCATCAATGAGGATGATGAACCCCTCTGTGAACTGTGATGGTGTCTAGATTGGATTTGTGGTTTTTGGAACTTGCGGTGGCTGGAATTATTTTTCATCGAATCCCCGAGGGTTTCTGGAATATTGGGGTAATTATAGAGCAAAGAGGCAGTGCGGGAGGCCACCGAGGTGGGCACAACCCACCAGGGCGCGCATGGGCCCCCAGGCGCACCCAGGTGGGTTGTGCCCCCCTCGGGGCAGTCCTCTGGTACTTCTTTGGCCCATCGTGTGTCTTCTGGCCCAGAAAAATTCTCCAAAAAGTTTCGCTGCGTTTGGACTCCGTTTGGTATTGATTTTCTGTGAAGTAAAAAATAAGCAAAAAAACAGCAACTGGCACTAGGCACTATGTCAATAGGTTAGTCCCAAAAATTGATATAAAGTTGCTATAAAATGATTGTAAAACATCCAAGAATGATAATATAACAACATGGAACAATAAAAGATTATAGGTACATTGGAGACGTATCAGATATTGCTATGGCCAAGGCTGCACGACACATAAAGGAGCAGGACCACGATGTCCGATGTCTCGCCAACATCATCTCACCATCATCGGATAGCGACATGATGAGCACAAACGATGATGACACATCTCCTACCATGGATGCCTACATGGATGACTACTACCACTGCTCTAGTGATCGCAAGCGAAATGTCCCCACGAGGAAATCGTGATGTTTGCTGCGGACGGGGCAACAGACATGGGGTGGCCCATCGGACAGGAAGCCTGGCAGTGGGCTGGCCTCACGGCCCAGGAGTTTCACAGTACCAAGGGCGACCCACATCCTCTGCGCCAGTGTCACCAGGTGGCAGAGTCACTCCTCAACATCCTCGATGGCAAACTCCAGAAGGTGAACTACACAGGAAAGCCGCCAGCAGTGCCAAAGCATTAGGACTACTAGCCACGGCCATTCCGATATCGGCCCAGAACTCGACGTCTGTGAGCCAGCCAAAGAAGCTCTGGCCCCGTCCTCACCCATAATAGGTGGGTCTGGGACTTGCGCTTCTAGGGAAGGCAGTACCGTGGCCTCCAGGATCGACGGGTGGAGGCGCAACAGCTGACGCCATAAGAATATCAAGTACCACGGCTACTTGCTACAACACTTTAATGAAGGAGTTACAAACTCTACACTTACCTACCTCTAAGATCACGGCTTCAGGCATTGAACCCTGATCGCCTCTCAAGGCCCTTATGAGTCGGTCGCGAGGGCATCTGTCACTAGTGGAGGCGGGGTGGAGATCCCAATCGTGGTGACCTCCTTGATGGAGCAAGCAGGCCTGAAATCGCGAGGCCTAAAAGGCCAGCACACAAGGCAAGACAATCTTCACAGAAAACCACCAAGTCACGAATAGGAGACTTATCAGCTCGGCACAAAGAGTATTGCGCTTCCTCAAGGGGTTCACCATAATGAGGAGAACTGCTAACACCGGAGGCACATTGGCCCCTTCAATGGGCTCATGGATCATTAAGGAACCTAGCTGAGGCTCCCACTCTAGCGACGCCACTCCTGCAAAAGCTTCCTCTCTGTGGCCCCTCTTTTGACCCCATGCCAGTGAAGCCACCGAACTTCTTTCTCACGGTTTCATTCCTCCGTGGAGGGGCCTTTTTCGTCCTCCTCCTTGTCATCTCCTTCCTACTTGTCACCATCATCATCATTGCCCTCTTTCTCCTTGGGGTGTGACAATCTTCCTTTTCTTGGTAGGCGCGCGACGGGCTATGGGGGCCCTCTCCGGCTCTGGCTCTAGTATCTTCGCCATCATCGGGTCCAAGACCTACCCCGGCAACAGGGGCTCCAACATGAAAGCGGTGAAGCCCGCAAGCTCCTAAGTGGTCTCAAGAAGTCAGAATGGGGTAGGAAGTAAAGACACTTAAC